ATCACTTTCTGAGACCAGTGAAATTGTGAACGAAATTACATGTAGAATCATTCAGACAGCTACAAATTCTGTACCCCTCACATCTACGAATCTTCAGAAGTACTCAAAACCATGGTGTTTCCAAAACATGGTGTAACCGTTTGCTAAGAAAGTCCGAGAAAACAAAGAAAAGTTTGGGGAGTTTTTCATAGATACACCACTTTGTAGAATCTTATTGCCTTTAAGAAAGCTAAAGCAAATGCAAGACACGTGAGACGGCAGTGCCAGAAGGATTTTTGGACCTTATGTGTGTCATCGATAACATCCTCTGCATCAAGCAAAAAATTTTGGGAAAGAGTTTAGGTAGGTATGTGGATAGACAATTGCAGACTGCCCTTAACAGGATTCAGACATGGTCTACAAATCATGGATTTGTATTTTCAGAACACAAGAGCACTTGTATTCTGTAAAAAAACGAGGTGTCCATTTTGAGCCAGAGTTTCATCTCAAAAGTTAACAAATTCCAGTTGCACCTAAAATAAAATTTTTAGGGTTAGTATTCAACCGAAAGCTGACTTTCCTTCCACATATTCAATATTTGAGGAAGAATTCTTTAAAGATATTAAAGGCTCTGGCTAATACTACCTGGGGTGCAGAATGTGGCTCAGAGCTCCGTATTTACGGAGCCCTTGTCCACTCTAGGTTGGACTATAACTCAGTTGTCTATGGATCAGTTTGTCTTTCTGTGCTATCAGGACTAGATCTGGTTCACCATTAGGCGTTACGGATTTGTTCTGGAGCTTTCAGAACTTCTCTGTTTCAAGTCCATATGTAGATTCCTATGAACCCTCACTCAAGTTAAGACGTGAGTAGTTGACTCTCTCCTACTATTTTAAGATACTATCACTACCTGGTCATCCTTGTAAGATGGATCTGTTAGATCAGGGCTTCTTAAACTTTTTTCAGTTTTCCTATTATCAGAGATTTTTTTCGTGACCCCTGGACCCCATAATATTTACGAATATTTTGTGGGACCCCATAAGCATTGCGCAAATCCGGCACACGCATGAGTCAAACTTTGCAGTTTTAGGTCATTATCTTTAATTTCTAATTTTAAGGCATAGAACAATGTGAAAATTTTAAATAAGTAACAAACGAAGTGACAGCAACATGTGTAAAGCAAGTAAAATGAACGTTTATATTATAAAAAGAATGTGTCAAAATGTTTTCATTTTTTTTTGTCTGTATTATCTTTATCTATTTTCAGATACATTGTGTAAAAATATTTTCTAATTTTAAAATTATTATAAGTTAAAGAAGTATCAAAACTGCTAAAATTCTTGGCGACCCAGTTTCAGAAACTTGTGTTAGATGATATGTGAGAGTGTCTGCTTAATGTTCGACTTTCTTGTGTGCCTTATTTTCCCCTGAGCATTTGATCACTGCTTAAAAAATATCAAATCATACATTTGAGCACCTATGCAGTAAAGTATTTTGAAACATTGCCTTGGGAGAATATTCAGTTCCGATTTCTTTATATTTTCCAATATCTTGGCAAAAAAGATACTAACCAGTTGGTGTGCTGCCTGCACACCTTTTCTTGAGCATAGGCAAAACTGCAGTTGTTATGTTCCTGTAGATGGATCAAAAGCAGCTGGGCATGCTGATACATCTTTTATTATTGAAGACCACATGGTAGGCAGACAATTGCCTGAAGCTTGCTCAGTCCTCACATCGTAATTAACTGCTGTTTATTATGCACTCTCATTCATATCCACGTTAAGCCAGAGAAAGTTTGTAATATACACCGACTAACTTTGTGCCTTAAAAGCATTAGAAGCATTTTGTGATACCCCGAACCCTGTCTTAATAGATGCCATCATCCTCGATTTTAAATTGAGGCACTATGGGTAAGAGATCTTGTACTGCTGGATACCTGGGGATATAGGCATAAGAGGCAATGAGCTGACAGACGCTACAGCAAAGTCGGCAATCAGTTTGGTCCAGTCAGGCTGTCCCTCCTGACGATATCAGCAGGGTTATCAAAAAGAAAACACAGTACAAAGTCCGTAATCCGGACCTCAAAGTCACGAACTTTTTTTTTTTTGTATGCTTTACGCAGGCACGTAATGCGTTTAATGTTTAACGGACGGTATAAGCTAGGCTAAAATTTTTTTTACTGATTCTAAGGTATTTCAGTTATTGTTGCAGATTGCGCTGTTCCTTAATCTTTTAATTGGATCTGGCTTATTATTTTTGCAGACTGTTAGAGCAATTTTATAAAAGTAAGTTTGAACTTTCGATTATGTCAAAAAGATTTCCAATTCTGGAGCTGGCCAAAGGATCTACAAAAGCAAAGCATGTTTCGATTCCATCAAACCAAAGTGGATAAAGGCTATCCGTCTCAAATTATGCGAGGAGATGACATTGGAAGTCAACTGAATTGTCATAACAAAAAGAAAAAGGAACTTTTAAATTTTTTTGTGGATTCCGACACCCCACTTGCAATGAATAACAGAAAAAGGGTTCATTATGCTAAAGTGACATCATGACAAAGTGATGATTAAATGGTCAGACAGCTCGCAGCGAGGCTGCCATTGATGGGTCGTGCTAATGTTCAAGCCAAAATATTTTCATAAAGAATGAACTTAACACTGAATGCACATATTCGGAGGTTGGTTACCAAATTTAAAAATCCATGGTTAAAAAAAAAATTTCAGGTAAAAAGCTTCAGTGATACTGAGCTGCTGACAATTTGCAGTGATCATTGAACTCATTACTAGTAACAGTTATCTCCAAACATGGAATATGCCCCGCAAGACCTTGGCAACCTCTACAGAAAATGCTCCAACTGGTGTCAAAGATTCCAAATAACAATTTTAACGTGCACAAATGCTGCAGGAACGCACAAGGGCAAACTTTTCATAATCGGAAAACATGCACGACCTCGAGTATTTAAATGAGTAACGATTTCCCACGTTATTTATTGCGCAAATAAAAGAGCATGGATGACACAAGCGTTGATGAAAGATTGGTTTGAAATTTATTTTATATCCGAGGCTCGACGATATTTGAATTCGGTTGGTTTACCTGATGACTTAAAAATAATCCTGATTGTTGACAGCTGTTCGGCGCATACTTTACTTAAAGTTTTAGTGAAAGGCAACATATCCGTATTATTCTTCCCTCCAAATTGTACGTCTATCATTCAGCCTATGATATGGGGATAGTGCAGGCAGTATAAAGATCGTTTTAAAATCTATGTTAATTTCTTCAACAATGACAGACCTTCAGACCTTTGAAATTTTTAGCATAAATCTCTGTGTGGAGTGAATTGAAGGTTTCGATCCTAAATTAAAGTGAATTTCCAGTATTGGCTTGTAAGAAAGTGGGAAGCGGTAATAAAGAAGATGATATACAAGTTTTTCATTGTGATGACAATGCCCCATCAAATAATTAACGAATAGAAATCTGTAATATGTTTAGATCCGAAAATACCGCTTCAATGTGAGAAAGTGACGAGAGGTTTTGAAACCGCTAAATTTCTATTGACAGTTGGTCGTATTCTCACACACTTACATGATTAACAGTGGAACGTTGTACGAACAAGAATTTATGTCGTTTATGAATTAAAGAGAAAGTATTAGCACAGAACGACGCAACTAAACAACTACGTGAAAGAAATGTTTAAAATAAACAAATAATTTTAAGCTTAATTATTTTTTTTTTTTTTTTTTTTATTTATTTTTATTTTTTTTTGGTAATTTGATACCTTTAGATCATATTGGTCTTTATTCATAAATTACGGTTTCAATTTTAATGGTATAATTTCTGCATGCCATCTTACCAGATTTAAATTGATGATCTATAATCCAGAAAAACCCCTAATTCGGAATCGCCAAAGTCCCGAAGAGTCCGTATTACAGACTTTGTACTGTACTAGATAAATGGTAGAAACATTGGGATGTGCAAGTAGAAATTAAGCTAAGAAGTATGAAAACTAGAATCAAATACTGGGTTGCTACTAGGAACCTGAAGGAGGAAGTCCTACTTACTCAACTTAGAATTGGTCACTCGTGAATTACTCATAGCTATTTACTAAAAGCAGAGAGGAACTGATTTGCCCCAATTATAATGCTGTAATCTCAGTTCATAATTTTCTAACCGTCTGCATTTTAAAAGACTTAAGTTACTGGTGCCATCTGCTGATGAAACTAAAAACCAGAGCATAATTTCTTTAAAGGTTGAAGGCAAAGATGGAGTAGAATTAGTGTCATTAACTAGAACAGGAAGATTTTTTTTAATGTGAAATGCCTCTAGAAAATCTAATTCACAAATGGAAGATGTTTTTTGAATAATTTTGGCTGCAGAAAAATTGAATGTGTGAGTTTCGGACAAACAATGCTGGGCAATAGAAGACTTCTGTGTTTCCTTTAGTTCTAGTATTTAATTTGATTTTGTTTTGATGTTGTATCTTGCTGTTTTACTAACATCTATTTTAATATATTTCATGTTTTAGGATTTTACACCAGTTCAAATCTCATCTCATTATCTTAATTATAGAAAACTTCATCATAGCATTCGTAATTTTCTAGCTTCTTTTGATTTTGTGCATTTTCATGGTTTTAATCTTGTCTGTTTGTCTATTTTGTCTGTATGTCTCTCATTTGTGTATGAAAGCATCTGACATGTATTCGGCACAGATAGCATTTAAGGTTTTGTTCGAGTTAAGTCACTACCACCACTAACATTTTGTATTTTAACTCTCATTGACAACAGCATCGAGGACAATACTCTTATCAAGAAGCTATTTTTATTTATTATTTTATTGTTGCAGCAAATTTTTATTATTTCATCTAGCAATACTGTATCACTTTTTTCAGTGTTTTATTGCAGTGTCGCCTTTAACACATGATTTTTTTTAGCTCTGTACTAATAAATTACTAGTAATCAAACAGTAATATAATTTATATAAGTCTACCATTTCATATGCTATCATTTATATTTCTATTGTATCGCAGGCAATTTAACAAAAACACAAATACATGCGGGATATGCTGCATTAAGTGAAATTGTTCAACTATTAAATTCTGGAGGTAAGGGCAGTGCACTTGTTAGTGCCTGTAACAACTTTTATACCAAGATTCCTCATGATTTTGGGTGAGTGTTTTATGAATATCTTTTAATTTATGAATGTATTTTTATTTCATGCACTCATTTTAATAAGAAATTAATTCTATTTTCCTCTCTGCCATGTTATGTTATATGTTGTCTGAATTTGCCAGCCTCTTTAAATAGTTGTCTTATAAAGTATTTTTCCCACATCCCTAGCGTGCCTTCGTGGTGTAACGGTAGCGTGCTGGGCCGGTATTCCAGAGGTCCGTGGTTCGATTCCCGGCGAAGGGGTTGCATATTGGCATCTTTTCGCTCCAATTAATAATGACTCTACAAGTAGGCCCGAAACTAAAAGTTTGTGATATGATTTTCCACACCCAGAATTGCCGACTAGGCGATTCCCTAAAAACCCTAGTCGCCCTTAAAAAGGGGGTAATAAGTATTTCTCATTCCCTAGCGCCTTCGTGGTGTACAGTAGCCGCTGGGGCCGGTATCCAGAGTCCGTGGTTGATTCCCGGTAAGGCGGGTCATATTTTTCATCTTTTCTGCTTCCAATTAACCTAATAACTCTACAGTCTAACTAGTCAAAATATTGCAGAATATTCTGCACTTAATCTATTTAATCTCTTTCATAGGAGATTTTTGGAAGAGATTATACGTTATGTTTTTTAATCGTGATATTATCATTATTGTTTAAGTTACATATATATATATATGCAGTGATCTCAAACTGGAGCAATTTTATATGGACTGCCAATACAGTTCCCATAAACTGACCCAATTTTACATTATTTTCATTACCAAAGACAGACATGAGTAATGCCCTGAACATGTACATTGAGCAAAAATAAAAAAAAGGGACAGTTCTATATTTCCTGTCTTACTGGGCCAATTGATGAAATTCAACTTTTGTTCTTCATGTCTCAAAAGCACAACTTAGCCAGTATAGATTTATTATAGCGTTGTTCTAATATAGGTATTTTGAGACAAAATCGGACTTTTCGAAATGACATGCGAATTTTTCTGTATTCGATCTGTGACTCATATTCGGCCAAATTGCAAAATTTATAAAAATCGAACGAGTAGTTTTTAGAAATAGCTCTCAAAATTTTATCTCCTCACTGTTAATTGAATTTGATATATATAGCTTTATATTTTTTTTTTTTTTTTTTTTTTTTTTTATTAAACTTGCTTGATTCCTTCATCCAGAATTTAAAGTTTAGGTTCATTCCAAATAAAATTACCATTCTTATGCCTATTTTTTAAAATTTGTATTTTTAATAATTTTTATAAATTTTTCGAAAAATGTTTTGAGTTAACCTATAAACTTTTTCCATTGTCTTAAAGTAGATGTTTTTTAAGTAGAAGTACAAAAAAATAGATTTTAATTCAAAATTTCCTAGGGTATACCTGAATTTACAATATTGGGGGCATTTTGAAATTTGGCGTATTTGTTATAAGTGATAATAACACCAAATGTGGTTTATGCACTTTGTTAAAATTATTTGAAATAATGAACAATGACTTTATTCTGTTCGTTTACACTGAAAAAAAGGGTAGGAAAATAGGTTGCTGTAAACTAAGAATTTCACAAAGTGGTGCATTCTTGGCGCAAACTGAAAAAGCGTCCTAAGATAAAGTTTTAAATTTTTCACCAAAAATTACAAAATTTAATATTTAGGCATAATTTGAGTCGTAGAAATATGGAAAAACATTAGCATGTCATTTCAAGAACAGGCTGATTTTGTGTCACAATACCTATATTAGAACAGTGCTATATATAAATCTAATATATATCCTAAGAACAAGAGATGTAGAACTGTCCCATTTTTATTTTGCACAGTGTACAAATAGAGCTTAATTACTTTACACTATGGTATAAATCATATTCAAGGATTTGAAGATACAGATTTGATTAACTTTTATTCTTTAGTTTGTCAAAAGAGAAATATCCTCGGTTCCGAAGTTTTGCAATAAGAATGATTTATGTTATGGCACACTATCTTTTAAAGTTGGGAAAGAAAAGGGTAGGCAGTCCGATCAGGCTTAGATGAGCGTACAGGTAAAATTTTGTACAGATAGTACTTACCGTTTTAATTCTGTGGGTGTGCCCAAAGCAGGCTCACTGAATGAATAGTGCTTCGAAAATAGCATTGAAGCGAGCATTGCTTGGAAGCTCATAATAGAGTAAAAGATTTTGCCTATGATTATTAAAAAAACACTAGATTCTGATTACCATAGTAGATTTAGCATTATGCAGGGTGCACCATGGGGAAACCTATTTACTTCTCTACACACACTCCCCCAAAAAGCACTTCTTGTTTATATGATGATTACATGTGTATAAATAAAAAAATTGTTACTTAGCTATATGATATTTACATTTCATATTTAGACTTTATGACACATTTCTATTTTTTCATGGTGGGACTTTTTGAAGCTAGCGACACCACCTTTAAGAAAACACAACCCAACTTTACATGTTTTCATATGTACTGGGATCTGTATGGGATTCACTGTTTGAAGGCAATTCGTTTGGCACTCTCAGTGTTTCAGAAATGGTCAGCCCTCCGATCCATTTGCAAAATAATTAAAAATCAGAAAAAATAAACTAATATGTATACAATTAAGAAAATATAAACCATGAAATAAAATTCAATAAACATCTACAGCTCAAAACTATCAAAACATAGAGCTAACAAGACCTCTTTGAATGAAAACAAAAGAGAAAAAGAGAACTGCTCTCATGAAAAACCAAACAGCTAACTGATAAAATTACCCCTGACCATCACAAAATCACCCCAACACTTTCATAGTTGATAACAAAACCTCTCCTCCCCCCCAAAAAAAATTAAAAACAGGAAATGAAACACAGATGTATCCACCTTTCTATTGCGAATGAGCTCACCGAAGAAAATACTGCAGTGAAACAAAGATACAGTTGTTGGTCTGGTCCTGGAGTTTCATTGATCCCACTCTGGGCACGCCATATATTCGTTTGATTTTAGGCAAGATTTCAAGGCAAAAACTTGAAACTAATATTAATAAAAGAGATCAGCATACAGCCAAGAGCATAACAGAAATTTCTTTTCAAACAATTCCTTTTATATCCTAAAATAAATCTGGAAGATTTGTGTGAAAAATGAGGGTCTTTAAAAACTGAACGTGGCTAAAATGTATGGCATGGTTTTTGTTGTACTGCCATCTAGTATAAATAAGGTTAATGTAACCTATAAAACTGTTTCCATTCAATTTTTCTGTGTGTACAGGGAAAATTTTTGGGGTGTGTTAGACTGGAAACACTGTGAGGAGAGGTTTAAGAGAGAAGTTTTAATGTCTAAGATAAAAACATTTAAATTTTCATGTACTATAGCTACAAGAATGAAATGTAAGGACACACATAGTAACAGGTGAATAGATATATTAACTTCAGCACCTTCCTGTTGCATAGAGCCACATGCAATACGAGTAACTGTGGCTATATCTTTATATAATGTTCCTTGATTGGTGACCATGCTTTGTATACTCTTGGTTCATGATGCATAATTGGTAGTTTCTTTCACAGGTCTTTCATTTTTTGCTTCCTATGGCAGATTGCTTATTCCTTTAGTAGTGATTTCATCTGTAGTTTTTATGTCATAATCTTTAGTTGCTGTTTCAGAAGTATTGTCAGAAATATACTTTCTGTGAACAGTTTTCATCCTTTCTTCATTGAACTTCACATTTTGGGGTAACATAATAATGCACTTTGGTACTGGATCCATTAAACAATATCATATTTCAGAATAATCTCCAAATAAAAGTTTCTTTAAATTTGCATTCAGTTTCACAGCCAGCCAGGTAGGTATCGATATATAAATGTCACAACTAAGCATGTGAATACTTTTCCTTGCCTTGCTTTAAGCTATAGAATGTAAAATTTTCATTAGAACTACAGTGCCTACGTCTTATTAAACTCACTAGTTAGTTAACTTAGCCACTTATTACATTCATATTTCCAGGAAGGGAAATGAATATGTACTAATTAATAGAAAACCCACCATTCATTAAACTCATCTCCATCGCTAATGAAACTCATTTTTAAAAAAGAAAGCAAAAACTAATTCTTCAGTGCCAGATTATCCTATTTGTACCTATCAAAGTTTTTTGTAGTTCATTCATTTAACTTACTGTGGACTATGGCTTTACTGCTCAGATATGTCATGTTTAATAAAATAAGTTTGACTGAAATTTTGCTGTTCCTTTATCCTGTACCAGTAAGACACTGTTTTCAGATTTCTTTGTCTGCGCTAAACAGGCAGAATTTCCTCATCTTAATGTTGACAAAAACAATCTTCTAGAGGCACTGTAAATGAGTGAGAATTCTTTCTTGAATACCACTTGATAGGAGTTGGAATTGCAACTTTTGCATCCCATCTTTTAAAGTTTCTACAGTAAAATTTTTCTCTTTGAGGTGGATGTATTGTATTCACAGAACAGTTATAGAGAAAGAGCATGAAATGTTTCTTAACACTAACATATAGTCTTTAAATGAAAAGGGGGTAATTGTGAGCTGAAGAAAAAGCAAAGAAAAACATTGCTCATACTTTTAATCATGACATGAGAAATCAACTAAACAAACATAGAGCATTATTTCTACTGCTGGAAATGCAAGTTCTGGAATTTAAATGGATCACTGCAAGAAGCATTTCTTTTTTAATTCATTGTGTACTTTAACTTTTAACATGTCGGACATGCCTAGTGAAAAGATTTAAGCCTGCAAAAGAAGGATAAATTGTTTAAAGATTTTGATGTTCTTGGTAATTGCAGCTACAGAAAAACTACATTTAAACTGTGAGTTTCCCAAACAGCATTGTCCAGTTTACTTGAACAAGGAATTATAATTGGTGAAGAACTGACAAAAAAGTCAAAAATGTCACACGGAAGTGCATAAAAGACAAAATTATGACAGATTGAAACTGGTTATCTAGAATGGTATCAAGGTATAAAACTAGTGTTTCTATTTCCAGAATTTTTTTTGTTATCGAATTTTAAGATGAAGATTTTGTTTTCATAGCTGATGTATGTATATAGTTTCTTACTTTGAAATTATGTTTGATTGCTCTGAATGAGTGATTGTGCGAGTATGAAGAATTCGTAATATTTATGCTAGAGTAGTACTCGCACTAAATTTTATAGCGCTGTTTAATACTGTATTGCTTTAGTTTTATAAAGAATAAAAAAATTAGGAACTTGAACACCATGTAAATGACTTGCTTAGTGTTATTTTTTATCTGACAAAGTACTAGAAAAGTTTTCATTTACAGTTTCTTCTCTTTTCGTTGTCTAATTTGGCATGATGTTTAGTGAAGGCTATCTGGTACTCCACTAAGTTTTCAAATTTGGGGTATGATCAATGCTAATTGGTATCTTGAAAAAAAACGGGGGCACTTAAAATCGTATTAATTCAGAAACCTGGGGGTAGAAGTGGATATGAGTTCCTGGGAAGTGTTTTTAATTGATCTGATTTGGAATTTAAACCAGGTAGCTCTAATGTGTTTTGCCTTAACTCAACAATCTTCTTTGTTTTCCTGTTTCTTTAAAATTTTAATGCTAATCAGTTTATTATATTTCATATATAATAGTCTAATTCAGTATATTTTATTGTAGACGCAAAACACCTACCATCATTACTACATTAGATGAAATACAAGAAAAACTGAAAATGTTAGAAGTAAGTTGTCTTTGGTTTATACTTTTGTCTAATTACTTCACTATAACATTTTGATAAACTGCTAAACATTTACCTATCTGAGAATAGTAGAATTCAATGCATTTAATAGTTCTTTTGTGGAGTTTTTTTTAAAAAAAACTGATGTCCATTTTAGGCTCTTGGCAACATCAATGTGGCCATGAATTTAATGAATGAAAGAATGGATATTGATGAAGATCCTCTTGATAAATACTACAAAAAATTAAAATGTCATTTGGCAGTGCTTGATCATTCTTCTGAAGAATTTGCTGTAAGTATTATTCTTATATATGTGACAGTTTGGAGCCCTAACTGTAATTTAAGAAGTATTGCTACTTATTATTGTAAAACAATTTGAAAGAATATGCTGTATTTGCTCATGTACTTCTCCCCTTCCTATATTTCCTCCTAGTCTTTTCAACATATGATTTGGAAACTTCTGTTTTGTAATTACAGTGTAAAATGCATCCACAAATGGAAAATAATTTTGTTGAAGTAAAAGGAATATTATTGAAACTGATAAAGTCCCTTGAAATACATAATATAATATTAGTGTGTCTTTATATGTATTTTTAATGCGTATGATTTAAGTTGTCTCTTTAGAAAGAGTATATATCATGTACTTTTCCTCTCCTGGTTTCCAATTGGTAAAATTGGTAAGAAAAGGGGGAAAATATGTGAGTAAATATGGTATTTGTTTATGCTATTCTGTTCGTTGAAATATAAAATTGTTTATGATTTCTCCATTTTCACTTGCCTATTTTTTGATAATTAGGTTATCGAGAATTGTATTCAAACTACGCATGGTCGAACTCATAACAGCTACAGCATGACCGTCATCGATATCTTCTCCATTAGAAGAGAATTGGAAAGTGAATCATTTTTAAATTATGGAAATGTTATGCTGCTGTGGCATGGTTCACGTCTAACCAATTGGTTAGGTATTTTAAAAGAAGGGCTACAAATTGCGCCACGTGAAGAACTCATCTCAGGCACTTTATTTGGAAAAGGTATCTATTTCGCTGATGTTAGCAGCAAAAGTGCAAATTACTGCAAGGCAACTAAAAAGAACAATTCAGGACTTCTTTTATTATGTGAAGTAAGTATGCAGTTTCTTTTTATGGCAGCACATGAGTATGAATAATTTCCTGAGAAAAAAAAATGAATTTTAGAATTTAGTAATTTTAGAATACAGTACAAAATCAGAGATCCAGAATCATAAGAACTTCAGCGTTTTAGATTATCATTTTAAATCTAGTCAGATAATATGAAGATATAACATAAAAAAATAAGATTTCTTTAAGAAAGGTATTTTGCATAAAAAGGTATTTTTTGATGACTAAATGATTATTTATTTCTATAGTCTTCATAATTCTGCCATTATCTGGAATTCGCTGCACTAACGATGTTTGCTTCTCGGGGTTCTGGTTTTGACGTTCAGTCGATTTATGGCTAAATTTTTTACATTTAAAACATTTTATCCTGGTCGATTGGTTTTTACACTCAGATGATTTATGACCCTGTTCATCGCAGCTAAAACACTTCACTTTATTTACATTAGATTGATTTCAGTTTGATAATGCAAGCTTACTTCTATCTTTAATTTGAGTGTCTACTTTTGGTTTCGAATTTTTAAACTTATCATTGTACGCTCTCATTTTATCATAAATGTTTAGCCTTTATTTAAATTCAGGTTTTGTTTTGCAACCATATAGTATAGTTTTCCTCACCACCGAATCTGGAATACCATGTATGACAATTTAATTAATGAAGAATCTTCAAATGGACCGCGAACACGTTTCTTTCATTTCAAAAAATACCATTAAAGATTCATTAGGCATTAATTTACGCTACATAACATTCAAGTTCAGCTGAATTAAAAGCTTACCATATTCAGATTTCAAAAGCTTTTAACTTACACCAGTCACATTAACTTTAGGTTCACTCTGAATAAATAGTTTTTCTTTACCTTTAATGATCTTTTAGCAAAAAAACTAATTATGCAAATCATTCAATTTCAAAGAATTTATGACATCTTCAAATTCATCAATCCATTATCAACATTTTCATAGCATTACCAGAAAAAGGATTAACAATATTTCAATATCCGAAAAACCAAGATGAGGTTTAAAATAATCTTGAATGGAAGCTGCATACTGTTATTTACTTGAGACATTAAAACCAGGATTGTCTCTTGATTATCATCAAGCATGCTACAGAAATTTATTAACAGTTTCATTTCTATATCACTATTTTCTTCATACAAAATATTTTCAAATAATACAGATAAATCACATGGAAAAGAGACAATGGGGTAATATTCCGTTTGGAACCCTCTGAATTTAGCATAGTAGTTACGTACAAACTTTAATTAACTCATTCAAAGAAAATTATTCTGTATGTATCTATTCTCTTATTAAATTTCAGAATCTGGTTTAAATGTAAAGCCAGAAAATTCACGTAATCTTTTTGGGTTATTTCAGTCTCCTTCAGTATTAAAAATAAGCTTATGCAAACTTTTAATTTCAGATCTTTTACTGTTCTTTAAAGCTGCTTCCAATTCTGGAATTTCTATTAACTTCATATTGGAAAGGAAGTTTTGTACTCACCCGACAGATGATCATCTTCAACCAGTAATCCAAACACTTTGGAACAGTAATCCAATGTTTCGTAAGAACAGTCCACTAAATTCACAGTCAATCAATGATTAGTTTAACTTGGAACACTATTCGCACACTTTTGAGTTCTACTTAGAACACTATTTTTTGGATTTGATCACTTAAGTTCATTTGTCGAGTTTGTGCTACAGTTGTGCGCCATAATTTTGTAGGATTTACTTTCAAAAGAACATGGTAGAGCACAAGTTAAGTATAATTACTGCTTTATTTTTACTAATATTAAATAAATGAAATAAAAGATGAAAGGTAAGAGTTAATTTAAATGGCAATCTCACGATGGAAGTAAGTCCAACAGTTCTACAGGATTCATGTAATGATGACTAACACACAGTCCTCAATAAATACATTCAAGGGCCCGTCTGCCCTAATATGGCTAGCTATAGACAAGCATCTTGGAAGATCTGTGGATCGTCTGCCCGCTTATTCCATCTCAAAATATCCGCTCTGCGCATGGACACGTCTCATCTCCAGCACTTCCAACGGTTGTCTGTCGCTCTGCGAGCTGCACTACGTCATGGCTCTGCTGAGATGGAAGTGGAAGTGAAGGTAGTCAAAGAATCAATCTCCACATAAACTATGCCAAGCATTTTTAAACGTATCTGAAGACACATTCTCCCACGATCTTGCGATGCTCTACACAGCAGATTTTATGCTAAAATATATAAAAAATTCGTGAATAGTCTTGCCATTGTTCAAGAAATTTAACATGGATTTTAAAAATGTTACTTTATATTTGCATTACAGCGTGAGCAACACCATTCCGATATCCATCGGCTGAATGACAGACATGCATTTTGAATGAAAGAATAATGCAGATACATTATCTTTCACTAAAACTTGAAGTTGAGTATGAGCCAAACAGTTGTCTACAATCAGGAACATTTTTGTGTCATCAGGTAAATCAACTGAATTCAAATGTTGCCAAGCCTTGGGTATAAAATTATTTTCTAACCAATTATTCATTAACGCTTGTGTCATCCATGCTCTTTTATTTGCATGATGTATCACGATGAAAATTGTTACGTCTTTAAATGGAGGTCGTGTATTTTTCCGATTACGAAAAGTTTACACTTGTGCATTCCTGCAGCATTCGTGTACACTAAAATTGTTAATCTTGCGTTGAAATCTTTGACACCAACTGGAACCTTTTCTGTAGAGGTTGTCAAGGTATTTCGCGGTATATATTACCAGAAAAGACCAGTTTCATCAGCACTGTAAATTTGTTTTGGGGATAATTTTTCACTAGTAAAGAGTTAATGAATGTATCTGCAAATAGTTCAGCAGCTTCAGCTGGAGATTTCTCACCTGAAATTTTTAATTGTATTGTACCATGGTGATTTTTAAATTTGGTTAACCAACCTGTCAAATATGTGCACTCCAGTTTTAATTTCATTTCTTCATGAAGTATTCTTGAGCCATTAGCATTGGACCTATCAAGGCATGTCCTCACTGTGATGCTGTATGACCCATTCAATCATCACTTTGTCGTCATCGTCACTTTTAACATAATGAACAATTTTTCTGTTATTCATTTGCGAGTGGGGTGTCAGAATCCACAAAAAATTCAAAAAGTTCCTTTTTCTTTTTTCTTATGTTGTATACAGTTGACTTTCCAATGCCATACTCCTTGCATTATTTTGAGACGGATATGGCTTTATCAATTTAATTCAATGCAGCAATTCCACTTTTTGTTTAATGGACATCAAAAAATGCTTTTGCCTTGCAGATCCTTTTGCAGCTTCAGAATTAGAAACTCTTTTTGACCTAATCAAAAGTTCAAGGTTTAATTTTCATAAAACTGCTGTAATAATAACAGCCTGCAATAAGCTGTATCAAATTAGAAGGAGAAGAAGCAGTGCAGTCTGCTACATTAACTGAAATTCTTTAAAATCGGTAAAGATAATTTTAGCCTAGCTTAATAGCTTCTGCTATACATTATTGGCTGTGTATCATAAGATTGGTGACGAAAGACAAGTTGTTCTGCTAATTTTATCTTGCTTCCATAGTGTACTGAATTAAGCCTGAACTGTATTAGTTTAGTTATTTATTATACCTACGTCTATTCCTTGCACATGGTTAAGGCTAATCTGCATTCTGAATAAATAAACTCCCACATATACTTAACGCTTATGTAGGGCCGGTGCTAGATATTGCCTGATGCAGTCTCTGCAGGTCCTAAATTCTGCTACAAAGACCTACCTAAGTTCTAAATTTTTGCCGGATCTAAACCTTGGGTCCCAGTGCTCTTCCTAAATTATAAAAATTTTTTCATCCCTTAATTTTGCCACTCAGTGCTTCTCCAAATTCCAAAAATTTTGTCTTCTCTAAATCCTGCTGCCCGATGCGGCCATACGAGCACTGACGCTGGTTCTGGGTTTATCTGAATAACATATCAGTTATTCTTAATATCAAGTAGCATTAAATGTAATCTTTTGGCCTATGAGTTTCATCAACCAAAATCTATTTTTAGCATATTTTTAAAGAAATTTTTCTTGAATTTTTCTTCGTCAATGTCTTAGTGCATTTAATTGTAATCATCGCCAAGTGTAATGTCAGTATAAAAGTTTGCCATGCTCTTGTTATTCAGTTACTATATACAACATTATATATACATATACATATATATAAAGTTTAGACATCGCTGTATGTGTTATTACTCAATTTATCATGTAGTGATAAAACATGCGGTGATGAAAGCAAAATATAATAAATATGGATTCATCAGGTCAGCATTAGGGATATAAAATCCTAGAAGGTATAAAATCAACAATATTCCTATGCAGAATGTTTTTCGGTTTGAGATGTATGCCAAGCAGATATGCAGCTACGTAGCCAAATTATTGATCTCGCAAATTTATGATTGCTTCTTCAATAAGTCAATTTAGTACCTAAGTGAAATTAAGAAGCGGGTCTCTCCATGATTTATTTTAGCAATAATGTTTGCCATATTTCGCAGAGATAAAACAGTTTTACTGTGCTTGCAAGGGAGGTTTTTCAGTTATTCCTTGGATACTTTTTATATAATTCACATATCGAAAATGTCAAAAGCATTATTTAGCTGAAAATCTAAAAAATGGCTACAATCTACTCCCTTTCCTCTTTTACCATTACGTGACTATCCGAATTTTCAGATATCGGCAATTTCCGAGTATGCGTTAGTTAAGCTTTTATTTTAAAGAATGACTGCAATGAAGCAATTTCCGCCTTTGTTTCAGAAAAGTTTTGTTTTTACTTATTTTATTAAATTATTGCTTCAATATTGTAAGGGAAAATGTTTACAATGAAATTTAGAAATGTTCAGAATTTGATTTAAATTAAATTATTTAAATATCAATGATTGGAAAAATAAATTGTATTTATTTTAGGGGCCAAGCTTATAATAAATATGGCTTATTATTATAAATTTCTCTATTTTGAACTTAAATTCCTCACTAAATCGTAATATAATTTAGTTCTGATAGCGTTTCCCCCCCTCATTGAAACTAGTTCGTAAATTGAATGCTATTTAAAATTAAAAAAAAATAAGTTATGTTTTTGGTATCTATTTTCTCATAATAAATATTGAGTTCTCATATTTTAAATTACGCTGTTTTCTTTAAGGTCTGCAGATGGTATAGGTAATTAGACAGGTGCTTATTTTTTTTCTTAAAATGTCCTTGAAAAGTGCTTATAGGTGCTTACTTTTTTTAACTAAAATGTGGCTACGAACCCTGTTTAAAACATTTAAAAAATTTTACTTTGTCGATTGGCCAACTGGGACTACCCCACATCTGTTTGTAAGTGAAAGGTAATATTAATTTCTACCATGTTTTATAATAACATTGTTTCTGGGCCCATGGAAAAGTTAGATAACGTTCATTTTTACAAGACAATGTCTGGCATCGATATCATAGCTTAAATACTCAAATGATACTCACCTAGGAGTTAACAAACAGATGGCCACATGCTTTTTCCAGGCATTCTGGAAAATCAGTTCTTGTTTATATAATAAATTTGATAAGTAATGATGAACTTGAACATAGAATCAGCGATCATTATTTGTCATCATTTATGTAAAGAATTGTCTTTCAGCAATTCAAAATTGGCCTTTAAATATTCAAGCTAAGAAACAACTTCCAGATCAGGTACTGAAAGAATTCTGAAAATAACACACACAGACAGCTTGAGGTATCATCAAATTCGAGCACTTCACTGGCCTCAACATGAAGATTGTCTACCTAAGGATATAATCTTTGTTAAGCTTCATGTTCCTTCAGGAGGAAATTTCTGAGCATAATTATTCATCTTATGCATGGGAAAATCCATGGCTGCTTCATTGAAGCAATGCAGAAAAAATTTTTTTTTCCTCCGACCGGCGGGCACTTTTTTGTCTTTTTTCAACAGTGGCCACTCCTAAGGCAAAAAGTGGCAACCATTTTATTATTCAAACACCAAATAGGTTTCCACCATTGCCTTCTGTGAAGGGAAGGGCCCTCCGGTGTTGCAGTCAGGCTTCCTTAACCACTATACCATCTAGGCGGCAATGCAGAAAACGTGGAAATCATGTCAAAATTGTAAAATACTTATGCATGATAAGCATCCATAAACTATGTGTCAAATAGGACCTATCACATGTTCTGAAAAAATAACAACTTTGACATTTATGAAATCTGTCTTTGATTATTTTTGAATTAGTTTTTTTCTGTAGGTTTTGCTTGAGTAGATCACCACTTCCGACTGCATACAAAAATGAAAGCATCTTTTTCTCTGTAAAGTACTGTATTTAGTTCAATAGCTTGCCTTTCATTCTAATCAGAAAACAAATTAACTCTAATCAGAACCATCTTTTCATCAAATATTCATCTACATTTTTATTTCTTAAACTTTATCCTAAAATGTAAGCAGAATCTTATTTTCAAGTAAATTACACTGTTTTGATTAGAACCAACAAAAACTACAATATAATTTTAAACAATGTATTATGTACCTGGTATTTGATATAATGATGTTATGATAAGCAATGTCTGTTAGAGCAAGCAGATTTTTGAATCTCTGCTTATAAAATGAGTTTTTCCCAACTTATGAAATATAGGACATGCACAATGAATCTGTAAAACCGACTTTTATTAGAATAATTGTACATTTTTAAATTAACTGTTTTCTTTCCAAAATAGGTCTCCCTGGGACAGCAGTTATATCTTTATGATAATAGAGACATAAATCTGCAGTTACCTGAGGGCTACCATAGTGTAGCTGGAATAGGCTCTATAAAACCTACTAATTATCACTTGGGAGTATTATCGTAAGTGTTACCTTTCATTTGAAAGTTATGCTTATTTACTTCTCCTTGAATAAAACGAATTTTGTAGTTGCAGTTGTCTAATCTAATTTGAACTTTGGAAACATGTCCTAGTGTCACTTCATACTCCTTATTAGTATTTAAAACCATAATAGAAGTTGTTGTTTCTTTTAGACTAAAAAAAACCCCTCAGATGTTGTATTAATCTACAGTTAAGAAAAATATCATATTTGATTTTTATAATGTAAATCTTAAAATAGGATACTAATAATCAAATAGGTAAGTAGTGGAGCAGAACCTCTTGGCTTTTTACCTATTTGGTAGGCAGTTATTGGAAGGTAAACATATTGCATTTTGAAATTTCTTCATTTTTTAATCATTAGAGAATATCAGTTTAAACTTCTAAAATTGTATTTGTTAGAATTTTTCAAGTAAAAAAAAAAAAAAAAATGAAATCAGTTCATTTCTATTATATATATATATTTTATGTTACAGGGCAGAAGCTAAGTTACCAGGAGGTCCACTCGTAGAAGAAAATGTGAAATGTTATTTACAGTACAATGAATATGTTGTTTATGATCCAAAACAAATAAAAATGCGCTATCTTGTTAGAGTTAAATTCAATTTTAAATGAATATTTCTGTTTACTCTTTTACATTCACTTTTTAAAAATTTTTAAACTGTTGACACTTTTTAAAGTATTTATTTTGTTAATATTTTATATTTTTATACTATATGCAACACAATTATATTGAAATGTTTTGCATCTGCTAGATTTGTGGTTCTGAATAAAATGACCCGTGGGAAACTCATTAATTGTAAAGGCGATATTAAGATCTTGAACCAGAAAGACAGTTTTAATATTGAAATGAAACAGATTGTATAACATTTCTATGAGCCAGACATGCATTAATTTTGTAACAGTTTAAATTTTTTACAATTTTTAAAGATTCAGAGTGTGTTTGAAGACTGAAGAATTCTTCTATAATTTGCAGCAGATGCCTTATTAGTAGCACTGCTTTACATTCTAAATTTAACCTGTTAATTGGGGATGTCATTTATATTATTAACAATGCTTTAAAGTACCTGAAATATTATACAGTGTGATGTTTAATATATTAGTGCTGATTTCAGTGTTCAAAAATTTGGTGCATTGTAAAACCTTTTGCTGGTTTTAAAGAATAATAATCTCTTTTGAAAGGAACTGATATTTTTTTAACTGAAATTATGGCAGTTGTTACACATCTAATATTTTAAAATACAGTAAGATTGTGTGTTCTATCTGCTTTATATTTAAAATTTATTTTTCTTATTATGTTCATTTTGTTATTTAGAATGTGTTTTCCATGTACTTTGTTATGCAGCATATATTTATCCCCTCTCCAAAAAATGCATGCTATTTTTAAAGATATCAGCTATACCTGATACATGAAAGTATTCTGTTTGGGGGGGGTCATGTAAGTAAGCCTTTTCTTTACAAATTTATTAATAAAAAATGAATAACTTTATTAAGTTTTGGTAGAAAACATAATAGTGATATAAAATTCTGTAAAAAAATGTATGTCACATTAACTCAAAGTAGCAATGCTACAGCTGCTTAAGTTGACTTTTACTTTTTTTCTTTTTGTGTGGTGTTGGCTACAGGTCTTTCTAATTATGTGAAATCAAAAAGTGAATTTATTTTTTTTTTTGTTAAAATCTGATCTTCAGATCTTAAACCTAAATTTCAGGGAAGGGGAATTAAAAATTCAGGACACTAGAAAAATTGATTTATTTTTTTTGAACAGTTTATTATAAACAAGATTATTAATTTTTTAATGGTATTTTATATTTAAGATAAGCTCAATAAGTTAATCTGAGTTGAATCGATTGGTCAGTTAAGTTTTTAGCTAGGATTCCATCGCTTGCAGAAAAATGTGTTTAAAGTTTATGGTTAGAAAAAGTAGTACTCAATTAATGATTAAGTGGACATATTGCTAGAGAAGCTTAATCCATAATGTCAAGCTCATATAATGTATGCCTTACTGTTCTGCAAAATTATCCATTTGAACCGTTAATTCCTGTTTCCAAGATGGCCTGGCCTCTTTCCTTTTTCTTCTTTTCAAGTGGTCCTCAGTGTACGATATTTTGATGATTCCATGTGGAGTTTCAGGGCTCCAGTTTGGGTTTATAGCATTAAAAATGCATTTTCAGGTGTTAAATATATTTTATGAACTGTAGAAGAGTGTAAAAATATTCAGTTCTTCATGACCCTCACCCCAATATAGCATTTTGTTATGAATTTTTTTAATAATTAATCCATATAATGCATAAAAAATTTTAAATATTGTTTTTGCAATTGTTTCATTAAATTAAACCAGGTTAAGAAAGGTTGTGATACAAAGAATTTCATTTGTTGTATTTATTGTACAGTCAAAAGTCGTTAATTCGGACACCCATAATTTATGATCTCAATAGACCTCAAAGCTGCAAACTTCTGCGAATAATTCGAGTTCAGCAGGGCAAGGGCGTTTACGAGAGCGCGTAAGACCCTACGGCTGCGAATATGTTTGTGCGCATGCGGTTAATGTGTAACGGAGTTATATGCTAAGCTAAAGTATCTAATTCCGTAATGTGCTGATGCGTTGTTCCTTAATCTTCGAATTGGATAGGCTTATTTTTGCAGCCTGTTAGAGCATTTTATAAAAGTAAGCTTGAACTTTCGATTAGTCAAATAGAATTCCGATATCTACTTACTACAAAGCGAAGTATGTTTTGAAATCCGAAATCTGTTTATCAATTTCACGCTGCTCTGCGGTAGAAGAGGGGGGGGGGCAGAAACGTCATTATTGATTTGATAGATTAGAAAGTTATGCAAATAGAATTTCCGATATATATTACTCCTATGTATTTGTATCTACAAAGCGAAAGATGTTTGAAATCCGAAATTGTTTATCAATTCCGCCGCGGATTGGAAGTTGATCTGTCAGCCCTATCCTTATCAGGGCAGAGTATTATTTATTGTTTTATAATTTCGTACTAAGGTAGTATTCATTCTCGATTACTGTCTTTGATATATGATTAAATCAAGTTCCTCGCATCTAATTCCTTCGATAGTGAAGAAAGTGACCCAGAGGTTATAAACAAAAACAGTTCGATTGACAAATTAGTCGGTATTCTAACACAGCAATTATAGGACTTGAACAGCGGAACTTTGTAACTGAACAAGAAATTATGGTCTGTTTAATAGAATTAAGAGAAAGTATTATCACATGAAACGAAGCAACTTACATTGAAAGAAATGTTTAATAAAGTAAACAAATAAATATTAAGCTTTTTTTTTTTGTAAAATTTTTTGATACCCTTTAGATCATAATTGTTCTTTATTTCATAAATTACGGTTTCATTCATATTTTAATTTGTAAATTTCTGCATGCCATCTTACGAGATTTTTAAACTGATGATCTATAATCCGGAAAAAAATCGATAATCCGGAATCGCCGAAGTCCCGACGAGTCCGGATTAACGACTTTTGACTGTATTAATTGTAAGGTGTGCTGTAGAAAGGTCAGTGGCATTATATAATGCTAGATAATTCACTTTTCTAATTATTGCCATTTTTCTGTGTTTTAAAATGATTCAAAACACTAGCTGTGCAGGAAGAAATTGCATTTTTCAGTTATTTCTTTTCACGTGGCTGTAATTAACATTAGTGTCAAATAATTTTTTGCAGCAATATGTTTGCCATGTATTGTCAAAAATTCATTGACTTTCTGAATACTTCCATGACAAACAGCAATGATAACCATTTCAAAAGCATTTACAGACATTGCCTATTTCCCTTTTATTCTGTGTATAGTGATGAAGTAACCCCTGAAGATACTTTCTTTAATGTCTGACCTTAGGAATAGATATATGATGGGGGAATAAAAGGTATCATATAGGTGCAAAAATATTATGCAAATGATTGAAATCCAATAGAGAAAATAAAAGCCATTCTAGTAAATTTGTCAGAATTTCTAAAAGCAGGTGGAAAAGTGACATATTGTTCTTCATCATATTTGTAAAAATAAAGCTGTTATGATATATCTTCAACCTTTGTCTTAAATTAGAAATGCAAGATTTCTTCGAGAGGGGATATGCAAAATTTCTTTTCTTTGAATTTCTTAATATATATTAATGTAATTACAGCAGCATGCAGCCATAGCTTTAAAATAAAATGCAATTCATTTATATATATGAATGTAATTACAGCAGCATGCAGCCATAGCATTAAAATAAAATGCAATTCATTTATATATATATATGTGTACACACACACACACACACACACGTACTGCGTATGTCAAAATGTGCAAAACATGAAATAGTTCTTTTAATGGCAAGGTTCTTAAGAAGTGTCTTGATTCTTTCTAAATTCTCTGGCTATGTAGGTGTAATTTAAGATGAAAACCTTAAAAATGTAGATTTGCAATATTTTAGAGTACTGGAAGCATGATTTAGTTAACTGAATTTCTACTTGCACAAACAAATATGATCAGAATTCAATTTTTAAAATCTATTTAGTTTAATCCTAGATTATCAATATAATGTTTCTTCTTAAAATAAATATCCAAAGCTTATATGTAAAAATTATTCTTGTATATTTTGAATATCCAAAGAATGTATCATCTAGACTGCTTTTTTTAAATCTGAATTTGTGAAATATAGTGGTTTGACCAGTGAATTTTGTGTAGTATATATGTGATTTTCTATATTGCACTGTCATTATCTTGCATTGTATTACTGTGAATTTGTTTCATAAATTGTGATTTTTCAAGATTTTGTGTTTGTTTCTTAATTTTTTAGCCGATTGTTCTATATATTTGAAATCATTATTTCTGTTAGAAATACTATAATTTAATATTGTCTAACACATTAGAATTGCATTTCTAAATTATTTCTTCAGAGCTTCCTAAATTTAGTGAATGCTATGTATATGCCTAATTCATTCCTTGTGCTGACAAACATTTTAAAAATCTAGGGCTTTAAAAAGAATATTATGGCTTTTGTGTGACTTTGAAACAAATGGCAAAGACTGAAAGGTTACATTTAGTTCGAAACTTACTCAGTTACCACCTTATTATTGCCACATACACTGGTACGTTGTAATATGCAAAGAATTCTAGGCTACACATGAGTAGTTAGTGTTTTTGTACTGGAAGTCCTTTAGTCTGGATGATGATCTTGCAGCTAATAACAGAAATTTCAAATTGGAGGGTGCACCATTATTGTTAACTTTTTAAAATGACATTCATGTTGACGTTTTATAATGTATATGTTGTTGGAAGCTTTAGATCTCACCTGCCAATCAGCATCTGAGTGGCAGAAGCCATGAACAAAAATACCCGAAGTAATGCAGGCTGAATTAAGTTCTCAGTGATTTTTTACATGGATTGTAGGAGCTTTTTAAAATAACAATATAAATAAATCTACCAGTTTCTTTTAGAAAGCCTTCTATGAAGGCATCCACCATTTTAAGTAGAAAATCTTTGTGTGCTTTTGCCATAGTCACCTCTATTTTAGAGGCACCAGATGGCCCATCTGCAGTATTTTTCAAGTTTTCGTATGTGTCTAAGATGACACTGTGTAGATAGAAAGGCCCATTAGGCCAGCAGTTTTCCATGCTGTTATCTTTTAAACCATACTGCATGCAAAAATATCAAACTTCGCAGTATACCAAAAGCATGTATCATCATTAATTTGATAATATATATATGTTTTTGACCAATTAAGATAAATAATTTTGCACCATTATTAACTCTTTGTTGCATCATGTCCACTCTAGTAGACAAAAGTTTAAATTTGTTTATTTCTTCTGAAATGCTTAACAGATTCCATTCCTGTTTATTTTCTATATTATTAAACTTTCAACTGTCGATCATAGATGGCTGTATATCTCATAGTAAACATTATATAATATTGCTCACATTTTCTTATACTGCCATTTTTTATTCATAATAAATTTTAGACATTTTATTTTAAATATCAGTTGAGAAATTTGGGGTGTGGGTAGATAAAGATCTACCGAAAAGAGTGAATTGAAACCAAATGTCCTGCTTATAAGCCAAAACACCACTGGAAATGTTTGTTTGGCAAGGAATTTCTAGAACATTAGACATTTGAATCCTATAGGTACAGGTTACAAAATCGTAGAAAATGAATTCGATCACAATCCACGAAATGAAGGTATTTTGGGGGATCTGTATGTAAATGTCAGATGTAGATTTACCATTTAAAAGATGGTAATAATCGCATGCAAACAAAACAGGAAACGATTTCAAATGCAATGACCGTAAATCGTTGGTAAGAGATTTGTATGCATGTACGTTTAAGCATGCTGTCCACTGTAGTGAACAAACTGTAGCCATTTTTTAAAACGAAATTTGAATAAAATTAATTTTTTTTATTATTACTAAGGTTATTTAAGTAGAAAAAATACAAACATTTTTGTTTAACTTCTCTAGATTATTTGTATGCAACAAAGGGTTAACTCCGAATTGGTAATGAAATATGTTTCACCCTTAGCATAAAATATTTTTAAAGACATGCAAAAACTTTTCAATTTTCCCCAAGAATTTTTATTTTACTTATATTTTTACTAAAAAGTACTTGCTATAACATATATACTTATTAAAATTATTTGAAGCAATACTTGTTTCCTCACCTCCAATTTGTATGCATTTAATGAAGTGAATATAAGAGCCTTAGTGTTTGTTTTTATACATCTTTAAGATCACATTGGCATATTCTTCTATCTTCCACAGTATCCAAGTTATTATTTGCACACTACTCTATACAAAAATGATTCAGATCAAGTAAAGGCTGTCGTAAAGATAAATATGTTCTAAAAAGAAATTTTTAACAGTGAACATGTACTGAATGTTTTAATATGTTTCGAGGTTATTTGTTCTGCATGTCATATAAGGAAGCCACCTGCCTTCTGAGACAGAGATTGTCTCTTTTGGCACCAGGAACTGGTTCTGTGTATTTTATACCAGTGTTATTTATAGTCGAAAATGACTATCATTTTAGATAAAATAATCATTAATTCAGGATAATGTTGATTGGTTTATTGCTCTAATTCTATGATCTCCATACTGTCCATTTACATTTTATTTTCATGTTGGGTTAGGATTTCTGTATTTAAAGTTGTTACTTATAAAGTGCATTATGTATGTTTAAACACATTTCTTATTGCACTGATAGGTGTTGGGCCTAATAACAAATGATGCAAACCTTTTTAAAAGAGCATGGTTACATGTATATTTGATAAATGTATATTAACAATGAGCTAAATCAAAATCATAGCAAGAAAAGTCGTCCAATAAATTGAACACTGAGGAATTAATTCCTTTTATACTAAAAGTGGAGTCACTATTCTCATAGTATTTTGCAAGTTATACATCAGTACTATGCAGATGCAA